GCCCTAAGTATGACATCCTCCCACTTAAGCTAAGCAGTATTTTACTGTGGCTTAGACTGTCACTTTATAGGCTGCTCTGGCTTAAAGGCAGCCTATGTTACGTTGTCTCAAGAAGAGACCAAGAAAAAATCGTGGTGAAGAAGCCTAAGCTTCTCCTTCCCAGCTCTGGAGGAAGAAGGCTGCTGACCTATGTCAAGGGCTGACTGATCTCATACAGGGCAGAACTCTGCTCAGCTTTTTGAGGAGTGGAGACCAGCAATAGGATCTTCTGCCTGTGGTCTGAGTTCCCATCTCCATGTAGGAGGGGAGGAGCAGTCCCGTGCAGCCCCTCAGCTGGGTGTACCTCTACATTACCCCAACTAAAGTTAAAGGAAACAGTAATAACAGGTTGGGTCCTTTATCAGGTTTACAGGGCAAGGAACAACCTCTGCCTCTCTCAGCAGTCCCCGGTGAAATCAGATGATAATGACTTGTTCTATAAGCCTAGCATCTATTACTGCTTGAGCAAAGATGGCAGAATTTTTGCCATGCCAGGTGAAAAATCTGCCCTTCTGCTTCTGATAAACATTGATTTTGCAGTGCACACTTTAATATTGAAATCATAGAATCATAGAATCATTTAGATTGGAAAAGACCTTTAAGATCATCCAGTCCAACCATTAACCTACACTACCAAATCCTCACTAAACCAATCAAGGGTAGACTAGACTAAACCATGTCCTGAAGTGCCACATCTACCCGTTTTTTGAATGCTTCCAGGGATGGTGACTCCACCACCTCTCTGGGCAGCCTGTTCCAATGCTTGACTACCCTTTCCGTGAAGAAATTTTTCCTAATATCCAACCTAAACCTCTCCTGGCACAGCTTGAGCCCATTTCCTCTCATCCTATCGCTAACTACTTGGGAGAAGAGACCAACACCCACCTCACTACAACCTCCTTTCAGGTAGTTGTAGAGAGCAATAAGGTCTCCCCTCAGCCTCCTCTTGTCCAGGCTAAACATCCCCTGTTCCCTCAGCTGCTCCTCATAAGGCCTGTGCTCCAGACCCTTCACCAGCTTGGTTGCCCTTAGAAATACTCATTAGAAGAAGGGCACAGCTGTAGCAGTCTGCAAGGGGCAAGCACATAATGTGAAGGGGACACTAAAACATGGAACTAGATTGGAAAGTCAGGGGACAGGCTGCTTTCAAGTTTATTTTTGAGTGTGAGTGAGGAGCCAAGACTATTTGAAGGGAATTTATAAAGTCAACAAAGTCAAATTCTTTGTGGTAGTGGTAGGTGGTGCAAAAAGGGCCAATGGCCACAACTGCAGCTTGGGATGCTCAGACTGGATATTAGGATAAACATCTTTCCCAAGGGGGTAGTACAGCACTAGAGCAGGTTACCCAAGAACTTGTGAAATCTCCATCCTTGGAGGTTTTAAAGATTTAGCTAGACAAAGCCATGGCTGACCTGATCTGGCGTTGGTGATCATCCTGCTTTGAGCAGGAGGTGGGACTCAGCACCTCCAGAGATGCCTTCCCACCAACACTACCATGATTTGGCAGCTTGTGACAGAATGAGGAAGGCACCAATCTTCACCATGTCTACAGTCATGCTGCAGTCCTACTCCCTCTGTCAGCCACATGTCTGGTGCTGCTCCTGTGTTCAGCCTGGTGGAAACCAGAGTGCAGGGGAGGATTGATAGGTGAATGGTGGTTGTTGACATGGAGTTAGGTCTTGCCCTGATACAGAAATGCTTGCAGTCAGCACTGACTTTAGTTATCTTCAGTGCCTATTAGATATCACACAAAACCAGATTGTGCTGGACTTTTGGATGAAGGATTAAAAACAGTTGATTGATAATCATGAATTTTGAGTAGCCTCTGGGACCTGCCCTCACAGGAGTTAGGAGATCTCTGCTGTCACTGGAGCCACTGGCAAGATTTCACTAGCCACGGAGTAAAGGGATGGACACAGCAAATTGCGTGGACTCTTAACAAACAAGCTCAGTGCAGCCGTTCCCTGTGTACATGTAATCCACTAGCGTGGAATACAGAGTTTCTTACACAATTACCTGGAGTGAAAGTAGCTATTGAAAGAGACTGCACAGGTTATATCACTGTATAAATTATTGAGCTGATATCCTGGAGATGATAGAGGAAACCCTTTCTTCTGTCCTGAGGATGGCAGCTCTGAAAGTTTATATGCACTTCCTGGAAGTTGTGCCTCCTGTAGACTCTGCTTAGATAATTATTTTGCAATATTCATCAGCCAGAGGATCAATGTAATATATAGACAAACAGGAGAATTTTATACTTATGTATTGACTCAGCTGTGGTTTTTTCCTGGTTGTGGGTGAAACTGTTCTGGAATAAGAGGCAAAAAACCCCAAGTATTTTGATGTTTATCTGGTTAATATTTCTGAGTAATAGTTATAAGTGTTAGTGAATCACAGTCAAGACATAGCTCTGCATGGCTGTAGCTACATAAGACACTCCATGCTTTTTCTTAGCATCTGCAAAGACAGAGAGAATGCCCAGGATTTGAGTGGCAGTGCTGTGCTGAGCCTGATATCACCCATGTTATTCTCACATGTGCTGCATATGGTCCAGCCAGATCCCTGTGCTTGCTGATCACAGAGACTCCCACTGTACAAAACTGGGCACTCTTTAGCTATCCCCAAATACAGAAAAGCAACTCTCCTCCCCACCTCTCCTCTGACTCCAGGAGGGATTAGGTTCCTCTTATGGCATATCAACAAACAGGCTTGTTTCCACCTAGGCCTTTTCTAAAATTTACCTGAGCATTGGCTTCCCCCATCCCTAGAGAGCATTCACGACCACAGTAATGGGAGGTGAAGGCGTATGCCCTGCAGACAGTATTGTGCATGTCCACAGGGACCTCTAACCAGAAAAGCCTGCCTAGTGTTTTGTAAACAATGCTTTACACATCGTCACCTCCCATACCGCTGGGATACAGCATTTTTATGCTGTCCCCCTTTCTCTCCCCCTTCTCCCAGAGGCACAGCCAAGACCACTCAGGTTGTGGAGACTTGTCACGATGGCAGATGGAAGAAGCCTCATGTCTGGAGGCAAAGCAAGCAGGCAGAGTTGTGGGCTGAGATCTACTGTGGCACTCAAAACTACAACTGCCTGGAGGCTTTCAGAGCTAAAAACAAAGCCCATCTCATTCTCTTCCCCCCTGGTTGGAATAAAAGAGAGAGAGCTGCAGTTGTGTACCCTCTTGCTGCTTATCTGCACAGTTGTGCTTGCTGGACATGCATGTGCAGCAGGTGGAAGGCTTTATTGAGGGAAAGTAAACCTGAAGCAAGCAGTTTTCCATTTCATGTGGCTGTCGTGAAAACTGTGGTTATTTGGTAGTTTGGGTGGTAAGTAGGCCCTACCGTGGTGAAGCTGCTGTTTCTTGCATCCCCCAGCCATCACCCCTGGGGTCAGCGAGTCCCTGGGGTCAGGGCAGGGGAAGCCCTCCTGAGGAAAGATCACTTATTAAAAGAGAGATGCACAACTGCAGTTGTTGTGCAGGACTCATAAAAATGAAGCCAAGCCTGTTGATCAGTGCACACTGTAATTTCAGGCACACCTTCCTCTGAAACTGGTGTCCTCGTTTCCTCCTGAGGACATGTACTACAGCAAGAATTTAATTCAGCAAGAGCGAATGTTTTAGGCTTACGGAGACATCTGACAATAAAGGTAGATGTCTCGAGGGATTTGTTGCAAACTCACCTACAAGCCTACCCCTAGATACCCAAGTATCTTGAATGCTGGCTGCCAGTGCTGAGGCATTTAGACTCACAGCTGTAGAACTGCAGAGTGACAGATTAGAAAGAGTTCTTTTGAAAATGGTGGAGAGTTGTTTTATACTGACTTGGTGGTTATTAGTATTTCCTAATTTTGACCTTCAGGTGCCCAGATGGACAGCCCTCTGCTCTGCCTAGTGAATATTTTAGTGACCCATTTACAGCAAGTGGCTTTTACTGAACAGAGTAGGCAAATGCAGAGGGAAACAGAAGCTCCGTCATCCTGGTGACAATCATACTCCTGTCTCCATTGTGTAATCCACCCTCTGAGCCCTATAAACAAAAGCCTGTGCATGGGTTTTGAAAGCAAGGTGATCATCGCCTTCTGTGATCTGAGTATTTTCTTGCATACACCTCGGCTAGCCTGTACAGCAGGTAAGTCTTAGCCTTTGCATGGTGATACTGTTCAGGACTCCAGCATTACCTTGAATTTCATTCTGGCTTTTTAATCTCCCTCCTTAATGAACTTAATCAACATAATGTTTCCCTTTCACCTGATTTGTATTTTTAGGGTTTTTTTGAGTCAGCTACTCAGCAACTAACTGTATTTCCATCTTTTTTCTTGGTGCTTCCCTGTGTACCTTCTTACTGCACGCTCAGTGAAGCAAACCCTGGGGGGTGCCTAGCTCACATTTGTTTACTTCAGGTAGTTTGCAGGAAAAAAGGTCAGCCCAAGCAAACATGACTGAATAAATTGAAAGCTGCTCCTTCTCTCCTTATTACTGGTGACTTTCCTCTAACCACCTAAGAAACTGGTGTGGAGCCTTCTGTATACATGTGCATCCACTTTGGCTGCTGTTACTTGTTGATCTCATTTTCTTGAGGAAACTTTTGAATTAACAGGTAGGAGGATGTGCCTTCATTTTCCCTGTGTTTTCAGCTATGGGTACAAGAGATTTCCTTTTACAGTAACTTTGCAAAAAGCATACACCATAGATCACTTTCTTGAATAAAGGCCTTCCTTTCCATTTACCTTCTCGAAGTAATTGCTAGTGAGTTCAGGACAATGCTTCCTAACAGTCTAGCCTTGCTCATACACTGTTGACAGGATAAATCAACTGAAAACCCATTTTTTCAGTACTGGTAACAACTTCCCTCTTCAGCTAGCTCTCCACCCCTTCCCTGAGACCAGCCTTTGGTTTGGCTCCTGTGAAATGTCACTGACTCTGGATCTTTGCCCCACAACTCTCCTGCTCACTGCTATGTCCACACTGCTGGAGGACATGATGGATGCCTTGATCAGGATTTTCCATCACTACTCTGACAAAGAAGGAGACAGATACAAGCTCAGTAAAGGAGAACTCAAGGAGCTCCTCACCAGCGAGCTCACTGACTTCCTTTCAGTAAGATGCAGCTCCTGAACCTCTTGAGTTGCTGTTCATAGGTGGAATAAGCAGCTATCTAAGTGTTCAGGAATAGCATCTCCTTCTGCAAGGCACATCCTACCACAGCCTCTCAGATGACAGTTGTCTTTGTGGAGCCAGACAGAAGGAGATGAGATCAAATGTCCCATTTGAGAAGTGTGTTTTCAGAGGGTGGTCCAGCCCCAGTGCCCTGTCACATGCAACAGCAGCAGAGCCAGGTACCTGTGCTCTGCTCACTCCTCTGCACTTTTGAGCAGGAGGGCAAGGGCAACGTAGAAGCAGTAGCAAAATCAATGCTAAATCAGGCTTTAATCAGTTTTTTGTTTGTTTGTTTTTAATAATAAGGTATAGATAAGTCCTTCAAAGAATTAAATCCAGCAACCAGTTCTCATGAGACAAGAAAGTAGTTTGTGCACAATGGACACAGACACAGTACGTCTGCTTGTGTGCCCTGCAGAGAGATGCTAAGAAAATCCTTTCAGCGATAAGCTGCTGATCTGAATATCTCTTTGCACATTTGTAACATTCTGCATTACACAGCATGGATGCTTTTTATGGAATAATGATGAGATTCAAGTTGTTCTTCTGTATTCTCTTAATTGTAAAAATTGTTGTGGATCCTATCACCAGCAGCAGGATGTTTTTTACATTGTATCCACTTCCTTGAATTGGATTTTCTTTTAATCTTGGCTATTGATTTATTATTACAAGAGTCACTGTTCTTACTCCCACTGAATAGGATGTGTTATTTGCTAAGTAGAGATGTTCTGAATGTGTGAATGGATATATAATACGACCACTTATGAATAGCCTGTTGAAAATCTAAGTACTGTTTGTTAAGGGATGATATAGAGAAATGCACATTATAGATCCACCTTATCAAAAGAAATCAGTGCTCAGCAGCTCCTAAAATCTGTTTGATTCATTTCAGTGCCTATTTAGTACCTGCATGCCTTCGAAGAGCTGCACTGTCTTCAGTTTCTGTTGCTGTGCACTTTTGGGACTCCAGACCTATGTTTTTAATGCTGTGGCTGGTGGTATATTACTCTTAGGGTACTTATTTCATGCAGCCTTTTATTTAATAGCACCGCGGCTTGTGGCATAGCAGTGGGTTGCACTGCCAGGTGTGTCGAATACGAATTACGTATTCAAGATCTGCACAGCTAAGTCACTTTTCTGTCTCTTTAGGGCCAAAAGGACCCTGTTCTGGTGGATAAGATTATGAAAGACCTGGATTCCAATAAAGACAACAAAGTGGATTTTAATGAATTTGTCATTCTGGTTGCTGCTTTGACTGTAGTATGTAATGATTTCTTCAAAGAATGGCTAAAGAAAGAGGGATTTTAAAAATGCTCAATACTATCAATCTCCTGGCCACAAATGTGAGCAAAGCATACCTAGTTAGCATTTAGTGAATGCAAACCATCATCCCTCCAACTGTTACTGCTGCAAGACACTTATGGACCAGATCAGCAGCTCATGTAAACTGGACCAAAGCCAGTTTACACTATGTGAGATCTGGCCTTTAATATTTTCTGTCTTTGCGCAGCATTCATCTGTAACATGCATTCATCGGTTGCCCAGGTCAAGGGCTTGGGTTGACAGATCATTTGGCAGGAGCTGAGACTTCTATTTCTTAAATGTCAGTGGGAAGTAAAAGGTACAGGAATGTTACTTATATACTTTCTGAATTGGAAAATATGGAATGACACATAAAACTTGCAATTTAGTTTTCAGTCATTCTACAACAACTGTATTTTTGCAGCTCAAAAAGAGCAGCTTGGTTTTTTGCTCAGCTCTGCTTATTCTAAAGCCCTTTTTAGATGCTGCTCCATATCTCCCCACACTCTCATATTTCAGATGTGGTCACAGCTGCCTCCTGCCGCCTGAGCAGACGGTACCACTTGCCATTGTTATGGGTTCATTTCCCCCACCTCCCCAGCTTGAATTTTGTTATGTTGGCATTATTGCATCCCAGTAGTCCACCTCTTCATTCAGCATAAATGAATTTATTCATATGATAAATTATTCAAAAACATAGAAGATTTAGTCAGCAAACTGCTCTGAGGGCTGATGGAAGAAGTATTGGGTTTTCAGGGGAAATGTAAATGCCTTCTGCTTTCAGTATTCTGGCACCCCTAAGAAGAGGGCTTTTAGAGGACCACTTGTGGGGGATTTAATGATGAGATCCCATGGTAGAGCTTTGTAATGTGAGTCATCTTATGGAAAAATGATTTCATCTCACGCTGATCCAACCCACTGCATGGAAGCAGTGCAAAAGGGGCAGTGGGACCCCATGGCCGGGTGTGGAGAGAGTAGGACAATCCTTTTCAGTGTTAGCCTGCTCTTGGGTTGAATTAAGAGCACTTCTGCACTCCTGTTTGAATTAAGCATACTTCCAAAGCCCTGTGACTCTTCGGCAGCAGGGTGCCACGGCTTTTTTCTTGCACGGAGAGCTCCCTTTGTTCCTTGTTATTTTGTTGGTAACTTCAAACTATAATAAAAGGCACCTGAATTAAATGAAGATTTTCTGCTTGTGTAAGAGATTAACAAAAAAAATCCCCCAATGAAGACATGTCCTGCTAGGTGACATTTGAAGAATGCATTTCACTTGTCTCTCCTCCCCAGACCCTTGGACATCATTCAGTAAAGACTATAATATTTGTACAAAATCATATATCATTAAGAACACATAATTTATTATAAGAAGGGGATTCTATAGGATCTAATAAATATCACAAGGGGCAGACATCATCCTAAGAGAGGGGCCACCACCAAATGAAGTCATCCCAGAAAAAAGGAGACTTTGCTGTAGTGGCAGAGCCACAATGTGCTGCCTTTTTAACTGTTCAGTGACAGAAGTTATATAGGATTCATAGATCTTCTAGAGGAACATGGCAAAAAGTATTAAAGTAAAACTGACAATAATTGCACAACGTTTTGCCCCCTGAAATGTGATGCACCTCAGTATCATTGCAGTTGTTGGACCAGGATGGCAGGAGTATCAGCCAGAAAAAGTAAGACTGCTTTTATGGTTCCCCATAGGTCCTGCAGGCTGTTGCTAGTCTCTAAGCCTTTCCCCATCCTGCAGGGGGAAGGGAGAGTAGAGTAGCTTAACGCTTCAACCCCAAGCTAAAAGGAATAAGACTGTCCAAGTAAGGACCAGTTTGTTCATTATGACTTTTGAGCTAGAGGCTTTTTGGAAACAAGCTCCAGAAAGTTCATAAACCTTCTGCTCATCTCTGATGAGCCACTGGACATGTAGCAGCCCATGTGCCAAGTGGAATTATGCTAAGTCACAGCTGGCAGCAGCAACATGTCCCAGGGTCAGGCAGGGAGAGCTGCTGCTATGATGGAGAGGGTCAGTGGAGCCATCTCGTCGGCTGAATTTACTAGGGCTTGAGCGCAGCCTAATTCCTCTGCAGAAGGGGCTTGCTTGCACACAAGCTGTGGGTGAATCAGCGGAGAATGACTCAAATGATCTTTATTCCAACAGAAGTTTTATAAAACCTCATAAATCACCCTTTTTGGCTTGTCTGGTTCGGTTTTTCTTGTTGCTGTTTTAACTGCAAGGATAACTGTTAAACTCTATCAGCTTTAAAGAAGAAACTTTTTTGCACAAAGACTGGAGACCAAGCGGAAAAGGAAGAAAATGCTACAAAGCACATTCAGATGATTGAAAACACAAAGCCTTGGCACAGTTCAGGGTTCTGGGGGAAGGGACTTGCCATGCCAATCTTGGGCTAACAGTGAGCTGACCCACTGCACCAGTGGGTCATTCCTCTGCTGTTCCTCTCCCACAGGACCCAACTTGGAAGATACCTGAACATCACCTGGAAGTTTTTAATTGTGTCTGAACCAGAAACAGCTGTAAGCAATCCTCTTTTCTGTAAGTAACCCTCAAGAAGAAGTGCATTGAAGCTGCTCACACTGGGTGTGCAAATAGCGCTTGCACAGCCAACCTTGCTATGGCCACTTTGTCCTGCAGATATGAACACTTTGTTCTTAGCTTCTCTCCAAAGGGAAAAGTCTCTTCTTCAAACAGGAAGGCAGATTTTTTTTCTCATTGTTTGGTGACACTTTTCCCGCTTACTTCCAGTGTGAATCTAGGAAGCACTGAAGATTTACATGCAGAGGAAGCTTGCTGTGTGGCTTTCTCCAAAGTCCCTCAGCTTTAGGAATGATGTCTAATTACAGGCATTTTTTTCATTTGTGTTATCAGACTGTCTGGAAAATTGATGGAAAATTGAACACCACAGTATGGCCTAATATTTTCAAGTTACATTAAAGAACAATAAAAATACAGTGATGCCAGACAAGACCTTTTCTAGCTATTGTGAAATTGTTTTGCCTGACATCTAAAAAGCAGATTTTCAGAAGATAAATGATATTATCTTGAAAGCCTCAGCCTCTGCCATTTGCTTTTATTTCAGTTCAAAAGAGACTTGAAGTGCCAGTGCAACTGGCTATACAAAGCTTGATGCGCTATCAGTAAATAAATTTATAACCTCTTCAGATTCAGTATCCAACTACAGATCCTGAAGAGCTGCATATGATGACACCACCATGATGACAAGCACTTTGCAATGGAGTGGTCCCTTCAAGCTCTGATTTACCAGCCAGGTCTGCTAGGAAGGCACCACCTTTTTCGCTCTACAGCAGTGTGTCAAGCCCAATGGGATAATCATCATCCTACAACATCAGTTCCTCCTTGTAAAGATGAGAAGCAAAGTTGCCTGGGGTTGTGGGGAGACAGAAGTGACACTAGGAGACCTCAACAGAACAGATGGTGTTTTCAGCAGACAGAAATGTCATTAATTGCTTTCCACCAAATGCCATTCAAGAAAGCATTGAAAGTTATTGCCAGTGATTATTTTATATTTCCAGATACAAATCTGGTGCTGCACTTGCAGGGATGCCTTGAATACATGGAGCATCTGTGTTAACCTGCACTCACTAGCAAAGGAAATCCAGCAACTTCAAATCCTGTAGCAACTACTGGGCAGGCACAGAGCAGCGCATGCAGCACATGTGACACAGCCCAGAGCTGCTGAGGACAGCACAACAGTACAACAGTTTGACATGCCTGCCTGTTTGGTCTGGGAAATCTGGACAGGGCTGCCTTTCAAATCCTGGTGGTTATTAGTGCATTTACTTCTCACCCTTGGCACCCTGACACACAGACTGGCAAACTCCCCAGACTGTCAGTACAGTGTGGGCTCTGTTCAGGTGCACACTCTTTTCCCTTAGCAAAGCAGGTATTTCCTCCTGGGGCAAAGGCTCCAGGGTCTCCCCCAGCACAACAATCACTGCCAGGGGTGCATGGCCACAGCAACGTGGTGTGTGTACGCAGTGTGCATGGGATGGACTGTGTCATCTCAAAACCTGGTGCAGGTATCTCAGTAAAGCACAGCCTTGTGATATCCCAGGCAGCCATGGAATTAATGCTGTGGTACAGACAGGCCAGAAGAAGAGGGAGAAGAGCTTTTCTGGAGCAATGCAGATCCACCCCAGGTCGCTCAGCCATCCAAGGCAGCACCCCTTTCCAGGCTCCATGCCACAGCATAGAGGAGAGCATGGCCAGGAGGGAAACTGTTAGGGACAGCCCAGAGCCTATCATGCCTGCTGAGCAGCACAAAGAAAACATTCAGCTCATCTCTGATTTCAGCCCTTAAAAAGTTGGATAAAAGGTCAAACATAAAACTTGCCTCTGAAATCAGAATAATCTATATAAAGGTTTTTGACTGGCAGGAGGATTTGTTAGACTGTGCTGTGACGCCATGCGCATGTCTAATGAGGGTTTTGATTGACAGACCAACAATTAATAGATGTGTCTTTAGGGATAATTAAGTCTGTTGAATGGCACTGTATTATTTGAAGAAAAAAGGGGTCACATTTTCAATTTTATCTTTCTTCTGCCACATGATATGGCATGAAAGATAACATTTCATTTTTGATCTGGTAATCTTTTTTCTAAACTAGGTCCATCCACATCCTTTCCTCTGAGTTGGGGTATGGTGGGTTTCAGGCCCTGGGCAGGCATCAGAGAGATCACATAAATGAATTTTACCAGATACATTAAAAAAAAAAAAAAACCCAAACCAAAACAACAACCAAAAAAACCCCAAACCCCAAAACTTGTCCTTTTTAAATACCAATTCTCAGCCACCTGCAATCAGTTGTGTATGAGGGGCAACTCCCAAGGAAGAGAACTGCAGCTGCATCCACTTATTTTGCCCTCACAAGTAGATTCTCAGCTGATGTAAAAGGACAGAGCCTATTGCACTTCGTGGCATAATTTTGCAACAGCTGAGGACGTGTGCTTGAGACTTTAAATTAGGCTTCAA